GCAATAATGTAGCTTAATATTAAAGTAATCTGGGGGCTGCGCGTTGTTGTATTTGGTAAAACATATATAGTTAGTTTTAAGTAAATTTAAAGTGAGTAGGTTTTTGTTTAACCAGGATCCTAATTTTACTAAGCCAGTCTCCACACGATTTTTAAGTTGCTGCCAAGCATTAGCAGAGAAAACAATAGCTGTATCGTCCGCATATGAGAAGATGTCACCACCCTCTATCTGCATATTACACAAACTATTGATGTAGACCAAGAACAAAGTGGGACCCAACACACTGCCCTGCGGGACACCATATGTGACAGTAGCCTCAGAACTAGTTATTGAGCCGATTTTGACACGAGTTTTACGATTGCTGAGATAGTCACCAAGAAGTTTTAGCGGAATACCTCTAACACCATGATTGTTAAGGTTTTGTAGTAGAATAGGGACGGAAACTGTGTCGAAGGACTTTTTTAAATCTAAGAAGACAGCTAGACATTTTCTTCCGTAATCAACATGGTTTACCGTACGGGAAGTCAGTGCTATAATTGCGTCTTCCGTAGATAGATTCTGACGGAAGCCGAATTGTGATGTTGAAAGTATATTAAATTTTGAAAAGAACTTTATTAATCTAATGTTTATTAATTTCTCAAGTATCTTTGCTATTACAGATATCACCGATATCGGCCTATAGTTTGAAGGATTAAACTTGTTACCACTTTTATATACAGGTGTGATAATAGTCTGTTAAAGAGCTAACGGGAAGACGCCTTGTTCAAAACAAAGGTTAGCTAGGTGAACAAGAATTGGTATAATCTCTTTATGGGCACTTTTTAGAAAATGAGCTGGTATATTGTCATAACCAGGGGCACTGTCTGGTTTCATGGACATGAGCAGACTTTATATCTCTTCACGGTCGGTGTCAAAAATAACAAAAGATGTAACTTGAGTATTTGTTATGATATTAGTATTAGTAGCTTGTTGTGTTGTGTTTTTAATATTTCCTTCTGCTAACTGTTGCCCTACCGTAGCAAAGTAGCTGTTAACAGTGTCAACAGATTCCCGGGGGGATAAAGTTAGTTTCAGAAGATCCAGGCTTTGAACTTTGGCATAGTCCAATATTTTTACCGATTGATTGAAGAAATAGTAATTTTGACAAAACAGTACCTTTCAATCTGTTTTTCTGTTGATAAAGAGTTGAGCCAGCTATCGAAAATATATAAAAATAAAAATTTTGTGCAACTGACTTCAATATAAATTATTAAGGATAACTCAAAAACTATTGGTCAGACTTATATGGTTCAAATTTATATGGGACAGAAAAAGAATCATCGAAATCGGTTCACCCAGAAAAAAGTAATGAGGTAACACACATAAAAAAGAACATACAGTCGAATTGAGTGCCTCCTATTTTTTGAGGTCGGCAGATAACCGCTCAGATGTCGTTTTTTTTTAATTTTAGATTTGTAGAACCAATAACATTGTTCTAAACGTGCATTGGTTCGTGTTTAAGATCAAACATCCGAATTTTTAACAACAATCGACAAAGAAACAGACAACGACACCAATAACAAAACGAAATAAATGAGAACTTAGACATTACAGTTGAAACTTGACAGTTAAATTTGATCACCATAATGATATATTTTTAGGTTATCGATGCGTTCAATCATTCTGTATTATTCAAAATTTTAAATATTTTAGAGGAGATTTAGTTTATATTGATTTCGCGGGTTCGCAGTGTTCACAACTATCCAATAATCTATTATGGGTTTATTGACATCAATGTTTCAATGTTTGACATGTAGCAACATCGATGTTAAGACATCGATGTTTTCATTTTTGACGATGATCATCGAGCATCCCTAGTTTATATTGGTTTTATTTGATGTGCCAACTCGGAAAAATTACAACTCGATTTAACTCAAGTTGTAATTCATGCAACTCGAGTTTAAACTCGAGTTAGCAGTACGAAACAGAGTAAATGATTTGTCACAAATTACTTTTTTATAAATTTGATTTTTATCTAGCTCTTTGGCGGGTTCGGATAGCCATAATTACCAAACTTATTATGTAGGATTGACATAAAATGGTATATTTAGTATGTATCACATACTTATTTGTATTTGATTTTAATCTTAGTCATAGTAAGTACATGTATTTGACAACAAAACAAGCTATGTACCAGTCTTCACGAAACAATATTAGTCTAGCTTTAAGATATAGGTACTGTCAAATACACACACAGTCAAAATATTCTTAAGGAAATTCATTTTTGTTTTCAAAATTAAAATATTTATTGTAAGTTAAGTCAGTGTTAGATTTGACGTAAATTTAAAATATGGTGTATCTTATAACTGAACCACCCTTTTCGGGTATTACAATAGTAGGTCTGTGACTTACATAACTATATAGATCATAAACCCTTCAAAATTATAAAAGAAATAAAATTACATAAATTAGCTATTATAAAATTTTAAACAACAAATTGTTTTGGTTGTAGTGAAATACTCTTTAAAATACAAAGCGCGCACACAACCTAACTCAAGTTAGGGAGATCCAACTTGAGTTAAGCGCAACTCGAGTTAATAACTCGAGTTGGCCCAATCACTAATTGGTTTATATTTTTATTTTTAATACGAATCCATAGTACGGATGTACATTGAGTGAAAAAATCGATTAATTAAAATCGATTTTTTGCTTTGTGATATTAATCGATTTTTATTAGAAGAAATAATTGATTTTTGCGAAAAATCTCTTACTCGAAAAAATGCCTGCTATCCTATATATTAATAAAACTACGAGATTAGTATAGTATTAACAATTTATCAGAATAAAAATCAAAAATATATATTTTTTATTTATTGGAATGATATATTTACTGGAAATGAGGCATTCCATCTTAGTCCTCACGGGTGACAACGCATCTACATTTTGATTTGTAATAGAGGATAGATGTAGATGTCTATGGGCCGCAGCAACCACTTACCATCAGGTGGACTGTGTGCTCGTTTGTCACCCTTATCCTATAAAAAAATGATAAGTATAAAAATAACCAAAACGACGACGAATAAGAAGATCTGGTTTCAAACTAAACTACAGAAAAAAAATTTAACCTATAACTTTAAACAATAAAAAATAAAAAATAATTACTGCCACAAATGTTCAGTGCCATTTAACAATTTATTAAAACCAAAATAAAAAGAAACGATAGTTCTTTTAAAGTAAGTTTGAACAAACAAAAAATCTAAATATCATTATTGCCACAATTGTTCAGTACCATTTACGTTGGATAAGAAATAAATAAAATAAAACTATAAGGTTAAATAATCAAACGATAACCTTTTGGTCTCAAAACTAAAATACAAAATAATCTTTTTTTTAAACTTTAAGTTTAAACAAAAAAACTATAAATAATTATTGCCACTAATGTTCAATATCATTTACATTGGACTAGTAATATGAATATAATAGTATGAAAATAAAATAAAATATAATTATAAATAATCAAACGACAACCTTTTGGTCTCAAAACTAAAATACGAGACAAATCCTTTTTTAAACTTGTGTAAACAAAAAAAGTAAAAAAATATTGCCATGAATTTTCAGTTAAAGAGTTTAAAAACAATAATTTTACCAAAATTCTTCTTCGTCTCTTTCCGAAAATACGGTTTCGTTTTTTCGCTTTCGAAAATAATCTTTCAGCTGGCACGGAACTGACCATCACAGAGAGGTGTTTAAGAGCCAATTCGGTTAGTTTAGGGAAAGTACCTTCAGAGCTTCTCCATATATTGAGGGTATCTGCCTTGAGATTTGATAGTGGTGCCGCAATAGATAGTTCCAATTCAGTATTTTTGCCCTTTGACGTGTTGGCCACTAATATTTTTACATTATAAAATAATTTCGTCAGACACTTTTAGGTGTTTTACAAGACATTTTTTATTGTTTAACAATTATTTACACTCTCCGAAGAAAGAAAGAAAACCACAGAATACTTTTACTCCTAGCGGAGAAAGAGAACTGTTGAAAATATACGAAAGGCGAAACTGTTTTAGGCCGGCTACATACATACGGAATTCCGTTTCGGAATCCCGAATAGGGATTCCGTACATACATCACACACGTACGTTTTTTTTTCGTTCGGGATAACAAGGGTCATTTGAGAGACGTTAGCCATTGAGTCTAGACATTCTGCCAGCGAATAATGACGACGATTTTCTAATTGCAATTCCATTATTGCTGTATCATTCTTACTAGGTGCATCTCCTTATCACCCTAAGATTGTTGTTTTGATTTTTTTTAATATCTCTGTCTGTACATTCTTTCGATGAATTATTAAATAAAATAAGATGAAAGGTTACGAAAAGCTATAGACCTGTAAGATTAAATGTAAAAACATACATAAACATACCTACTCGCTTCGGTCGTGCGACGAACACTGAGCTGAGCGCGTTCCGTACGGAATTTACGAATGTGTTGCGACTCGTACAAAATCTGTGGAAGACTTGCGTTCGGAGCGGCTTTTTTCCGTTCGGGATTCCGAACGCACAGGCGGTCATACGGAATCTCGAATCGGAGAAATTCCTTACGGAAAAATACCGTACGTGTGTGGCGGGTCATAGATTTTATATGGACTTGCTGCGTTCGGGATTCCGAATCGGAATATCGAAACGAAATCTCGAAACGCACGCAATCTGTCGCACAGATGACGATGTTCTTTTGATCGACTTAATGTTATTGAACTTACTTCACGTTTTTACATCCTTCGCACAGATGACGCTTATTAAAACATGTAATTTACATAATCGATTTGTTAAAAATCGATTGTTATTATCAAAAAATCGATGATTAAAATCGATTATAATAAAAATATAATGGATTAATATAAAAATCGATTATTTTTTGACATCCCTAATCCATAGATAAATAAATATGTAACAAGCTATACGAATCTTCTCAAAAGGTTTATATTGGTTTATATTTTTATTTTTAAAAACATTAATAAAAATAAAATGAGTTACGTGAGTGATTTATCACAATCAAACGAATATTTAAGTTTTAGGAGTAGTATTCCATTGCGAAAAATAGTTGTTGATTCAGACAGTTCCAAGGTTAACAAACAATCACTAATACTATTTTTTAAATTAAATTATGCAATGAGATTGGATTTAAATAAATAATTCAGTTCAAAGAAAAAAAAACTTCAAAACGACTATTTTTTACGTTCTAGGCATGGCGAATATTTGATAGTGGACCAAAATCAGTTCGTTGCCCTCTAATATGTTTACCTCCAGTATCTGGAACAGCTGACATATTTTTTAGACAAGTGATGGGGTTAGCTTCAAGAGGTGTTCGTGTTATTGCTGCAGAACCTCCACCATACTGGAATATGAAGGAATGGGTCGATGGTTTTAAGCGTCTTATAGATTATCTAGAACTAGATAAAGTACATATTTTTGGGGCTTCATTAGGTAAGTATATATGTATTATATTTTTAGTTTTAATTAGCTACCCCACACTAGATGGAGTGACAACCCAGTAAAAGATGCAAGTGGCTCATTGCTTTGTGGCATTCCTTGGTGGAGTCTTATATTCAGCAGTACGCTTGTGAAGGGCTGTGTGAGATGATATAATTAGTTTTTACAGAATATCATATACCTTGTGCATTAATTTTCAAATGCCTGTAAATGTATGAGTACTAGACATGGGCAATGTGTATCACTTAAAAGAAAAGATTGATATGTATCTTTTGATCACTTGGATATGTATCACTCTTTTATATCTTTATATCCTTATGTATCAGTAGATCAAGCTCGCTTTCACGACACGCATCGCATTACGTTGCGTTGCTCACTCAGCGTGGCTCGCTTCGCTCAACTCAATCCTATCAGTAAAAGTGATAGATAAGTACCTATAGAGCTGTTTGCAATTTGCTTGGTTGTAACATTGTGTATCTTTCTGATATACTTGGCTGTTGTTTCTTTCTAGGTATCTATTTGTTATGATAAAAAAATTAAAGTTTTCCTATTTCTCAGACATGCAGGTTTCCTCACGATGTTTTCCTTCATCGCCGAGCACGTGGTAAATCAGCACTTAAAATTGCAATTAACAATTTCATTGGTGCCGGTGGGGATCGAACCCGGGTTGCTTGCGTACTGTGAACTTTACAGCAAGCGCTGTTATTGTTATGATTGATAAATATTAATAGGCACTTATTGGAGAAATTAACTTAAATTTTTAGTTTAAAATAATAATTAAATTAATGATTAACGTAAATAACGTAGGTAGGGTAGGTATTGTTTGTATTAATTTGTAGAAAATATACATTATATAGTTTCGGCTTCTTGAAAACATGCCAGCTGGGTTGGCTGTCTTTTAGCTACGAGGGGTACTGTGGGGAAGGTTACCACAATTTCCAGCGGGTACATTTAGCATGTTCGCACAATAAAGGCATTTTGCTTTTTTTGGTTCTACTTCCTCAAAATGATTCCACACTGCGCTTCGTTTTCGTGAACCCATTTTTTTTTATTAATAAAACACTAACTGCTCAAAATTATTTACACTTAAAATAAATGAAACATTCACTAACTATACGTACAGAACAAAAAACACTTTAAACTATTTACACTGAATGTCTTATTTACCTACATTTAAATTAAACAGTCACTAAGTGTACAAAACAACTTCAAATATTTTTCTATTCGATGCAATTAACGCAAACAATATTACTCTCGTTCCCAAACCGAGATTAAGGTTGAAGTAATTAAGCAAACTGATATATTTGTTTAATTTTGTAAATCACAAATCTTTTTTCTACTTTTTATGGATATAAACGACTATTAATTTCGATTATAAAACTTTCTTAAAAACTATGGTTTTATAACAGAAATTAGTTTGCATTGTTTACTAAAAAAATTATAGGCAAAGTACACATAGGTACAGTTCAAACCAGTATAATACTTAAATGTTAACGTACCGCTTAATGACTTTAAGCCCTATGCACCAGTCATAGAGTTATCAATTTACCTTTTTGTGCTAACTTATTACAGTTTATAATGGTCAAACAACTCACTCTCTCCGTCGTGCCAAAGCGCTACAGAACATTCTAAATAGTGACCTGCGAAAGAAACGTCTGTACTATGTACTTTCCGAAATCTTCCTGGAACGACCGGCCGTGCCGGCCGAGGTATAATAGAAAGCAGTGTGCGCAATGTGCGACACAGATGTTAGAAAAAGTTAAAAGATGTCTTTAGAGAATAAGTTGTAAAGATATACTGATACAGCGATACATTCGGATGAGGATGGATATAAAGAGTGATTGATGGAAACGGATTGATTCATATCTTTTGTATCTATCTCTCCTGAGTTACCCATCTCTAATGAGTACTATGTTTATTTGCTGTGTTTGTTTTGTAAAATACTATGTTGCGTAGTGTATAAATATACAGAAATTTAAGTAAGCATATCAGACCCCCTTTAGACAAATGTGTTAGAAGCATCGAGTTATATGTAGTACATACTAGAGAAGTTGTGTGTATGTATGTGCTGTCCTCCATTAATTAACAAACAAGGTTCAAGCAATTAAAATACGGCAGAATAATCATACAAAAATGCCAGATGCAAATTCCACAGAATAGTTTTGGGAAGGAATTAATATGGGAATTTAATTAATTATAATTGTAGGTGAAACTCCTTTGTTGCCTATTATCTGCCTGGAAATATACCACCCTCTTACCTACATCTTCGCCAAATGACAGTGCTTGAGCTGATGTGTTGAGTTCAGATAGGTATAGAGAGCCAGTATGATTATAGGCTGTGAGTCGTTAGTGGTGGTTCTCTGAGGTAATAACACATCTGCAGCCTTCTTCATTTGAAGTTTGCTGCAGGTGTCTAAGGATTGCAGTAATCACTTGCCATCATGTGGCCTTTAAAGTCCATTTGTCACTTCGATTTCATAAAAAAATCTTCAAGTATATGTATTAAGTGAAGAAAGTATTTTTGTTACTCATGTATGTTGTTTTAATATGCAAGAAAAGTAATGAACCATCGAAATGTAACTTACCCATATAGAAATTGTATAGGAATTTGATTAAATCATTTATTGCCACAAATGCACCATTTGCATTGAATGTAATATTAACAATATATTGGTATTACCAATGCACCGTTTGATTTTAGGTTGCCATCCTCTTTTATTTACCAATACTAAAAATTCAATATTTAAATAAAAAAGACAGTCAATATTTAGGACTGCTAAAAATAGCAAAATAAAATTTATTAATTTTTTATTAATGATATATATAATTTTATTACATTTTCTATGAGAATTATAGACATGTGTCAATCATGTATGATTCGTTCATTTAACCCGGGGTGTGTTAAAGTATTAATGATTGCAATTACATTTATTGAATGTTCCGGATCAAACAATTAACAAAACCACTGACCAAAGAGTATAGTAATATCTGACGACCGACATTATGGAGCAGATCTCACAGATAACACAGTACCAAAACTTGAATTATTAGACAATTATCTATTAAGTTGTTCTTTACTTTTTAGGAGGATTCATAGCTCAGAAGTTTGCAGAGGTAACTAAAAACTGTCCAAGAGTTGCTTCCTTGGTCCTTTGTAACACTTTTACAGATACCTCTGTCTTTGAGTACAATGATTCTTCAGCACTATTTTGGCTTCTTCCATCATTGGTATTAAAAAGAATGTTAATGGGTAATTTTACAACAGACAAACTTGACAAGAGGATAGCTGAATCAATTGATTTCATAGTGGAAAGGGTAACTTTACTTTTTATGTATTTGTTAATTATTTCTATCATTGATAGTAAGATACTATTTAATCAAAATCAATCAAAAATCTTTCCAGCTTGAATCACTTAATCAAGCCGAGTTAGCATCAAGACTTACTCTAAATTGTACTCCATGTTATGTGCAGCCACACCAACTTAATAATATGCCAGTTACAATAGTGGATGTATGGGATGAGAGTGCATTAAGTTCAAGGGTAAGAGAAGATCTCTATAAGTCATATCCACAAGCCAAATTGGCACATTTAAAAAGTGGTGGCAATTTCCCATATTTAAGTAGGAGTGACGAAGTTAATTTACATTTGTTGGTGAGTATGCTCAGTAGTTTTGAATTGTTTAGTGTGTGCATTATTATTTTCAGTATGCAAATTTTTATTAAGTATTATGCAAATTAAATATAGTTAGTAGTAATATATAAAATGCAAATGAATTTATGACTTGCGTGAATTCATGGTGGGCGTACACTTTAGTTGCATTAATTTCAACAACAACCTTGATTATTATATTTATTGCAGATTCATTTAAGACAATTTGATGGTACAGAACTCTCATCATCATATTTAAGCCTTCTCAAAATGCCTACACAGTCAAGTAGTCAATCTGAAGAAGGTTCAGTAAGTTTTTTTAATCAGAAAGATAAGTTTGTAAAAATATCATAATAGTTAATGAATTTTTATAGAATATATAATAAATAAGATAATTTTGTTATTAATTTTTTGTACTATAATTAAATGACAATAAATTTATAATGTTTTATGTGTTATGAGTTCTGACAATATGTATTGCAAAGATACAATGGTGCTTTTAGATGAACAACTCTGTCGCCTAGTGCTGCTCACAAACTGTCTTCCCCTGGCAGCATGTGTTTATCAGTGAATGGTAAATAGTCAAGCTACTGCACGTTTTATTTATTAAGAAAAGTCTATATTTGAAGGCATTGATTTTGTTTATTAACTGTAATGTTGATGACCCCGCTTGCACTAAGCGACAGATGCTGCCCCACTACAATTTGTCAGATGTGTTGTTTATCTAAAAGTGCTCTAATGGTGTTTGTAAAAATAGAAATATTTAAGTTTTATACTTAAAATAGGGTTTGAGTGAAAACAGTGCATTCCTCAGTATGCATTTAATTAAATTAAACAAATATACACATTTCTAAGTTTCTTTTTCTAAATTTTGTTGTAACTGTTTTTTCTTTTCTTTTTGAGCTTGCAATGCTTTTTCTCTTTCTTCATCATCAGAAAAGTATTCTGCCAAACTGTCATCAACATGTTCGACTGCTTGACCAGTCATTGTTGTTCCTTTAACTGATAGGGGGTTTAAATTTACAAGAGGATTATCACAAGTTGCATCTGCAATATTTGACTGGTTTTGTCCTTGATTATTGTGTGCTGTTACAGTTGAATAAATCGACATAGCCTGAAAAGAAAATTTTTAACTGCATTTTAGAATGATAGACTTCTAGCTTGTAATTTATAATAAGCATTTTTAAATTGTGATGAATAAAATTAAATATCCTCTAACATAAAATATACAAGTTAGTAGTGCCAATTCCTTTACTTGGTTTTACTTAGTCAGCTTATTTTAAATAAATCCACCACTAGGCATGCAACTACACCAGAGGGCAGGTTGGTTGGTTGAGTTGAGCGCCAAGCCAAAAAACTCACATCACAGTTCATAATTTTGTATCGATTTTCAGCCATTAATAAACTGTAAGTCTCGTCCTTCAATCAACAGGGTACATTGCGAGCAAGATTTAGATTTGGTACTTAGAGAATAAGTTGGCATATTTCCATTTTCCGTTTCCATTCCCCGTGTGGTGGCAGCGAAGTTAATCCATTACCCTATTTCGTCCTGCGGCTGTCGTAAGTTACAATTAAGAGATGCTAGAAACATCTTATGCCATCCGATAGATGGCAGTATAACCACACCAAAGACGAAGAAACATAATAGACGACAGAAAGTATTATAATAGTTGAAAATTGAGGAGGATTTGTTTCCCTAAAAATGGCTAATGCAGAAACCACACTTCAAATATTACAAAAACATTGTAATATTCTTTAAATTTTACAAAGAACTTTTGAAATTGCCAAAAGTCAAATGCCTGCATAGACAATGCAGATAAAGTTGTTTAAAACTAGAATATTTAACCTGGCCAAACGTACCTGTGCCACTAAACTGGAGACATCACCAGCATTTGCTGGTAATATTAGTGTGTTATTTGTCCGCGCTAGTTTGTTAAATGCTGACACATATTGTTCAGCTAATGTTAGGGACGCAGCATGCTTGCTGTCCTGAAATATAAGATAAATGTTATTTAATTCAAAAATTTACTGCTTTAAATATCGACTTTAATATTTTGCAATTTCTCTAAAGCATATTACTAGAAAAATAATGGTTCAGAGATAAAGAAATATTCAAATTAAATGTTTATCAGTATATTAAGTCTACTATGATGATCAATCAGTACCTGATGAGCTAAAGCACTAGCTATAAGTTTTAAGCCACGAGCTCTAGCCTCGGCAACGGCAAGCATGGCTTGTGCCTCACCAGACGCCTTGTTGATCTGCTCCTGTTTCTCGGCCTCTGAAATTGAAATAAAATCAAAAAATTGTTATAACCAATATCACAAATCGTACTTTACTGCTTTGCCTCTTTGTCTCTTATTTTGAGCCCATATCTTATCGTATTTCATAAATTATAATCACTTATAATTTATGAAATGCGCAAATAAAACAAAAACATATTTAAGAGGTAGTGTTTCAAGAAGTTATTATTGCAAAATTCTAATTCCCTCAATCTCTTTATCAAGATTTATTCACGCTTTAAACACAACACGGATACGGCACGCAAATATACCTAAACTTTTCATTCATTGTGACTTGCAGGAATCCAATATTTCTTTTACAACTTATACATACGTCCCGCTGCTGCTGGACACAGGCCCCTTCTCATTTCAGAGAAAATTATACAGCAATTAGTTGGTCACACTGCTCCAGTACATATTGACAGACTGCACACATGTCCTTGAAATATTTTTTAGCCTCAGACTTGCAGCTTACATTACAATGTTTTAATTCACCGCTCAGCATGTGGGTTAATCAGCACTTAAAATTACTATTAACAATTTCATTAGTGCCAATGGGGATCAGACTAGGGTTTCTCGCCTACTGTGCCAATAATATTTGATACACCACTGTATCACTAGTTCTAAGTATTACTTACTCGTGTCACCTAATCTTAGGCTGGCTTTTCACTATGTGATATAATATATATTATATCCCGAAATATAAATTATATCCTGTGATTGGCATTCACACTGTGAAATATCTTTTAACCAGTGTGCATTTGTCATTGGTCATTGAATTACCCCCCTTTACCCCGTACACCGTTCTGCGGGGGCGCGGAACAATGTGCGGGGTACAGGGGGCGATATATAATATGAAAATATCGCTCGGTCGATCGAAAAAGTATTTATAGCTTGAGATGTAATATATATTATAGCTCAGTGTAAACGGTTCCATATGAAATGTATGGTGAGCGATATTAATTTATATCTCGAGATGTAATATGTATATAATATTATATCCCATAGTGAAAAGCGGGCTTTATTGTGGAAAGTTTTAGCTGTTTTTTTTGTTGTCGCACTGTTTTCGTTTATTCATTGTTATTTTGTATATCAAGATAAATAATACAAATATATAATTACCTGAAGCCAATATCCTGGACTGCCGTTGGCCTTCAGCTACATTGATATCCGCTGCCCGCACTCCCTCGGATTCCAATATAGCGGCGCGCTTTCTTCGTTCCGCTTCTACCTGCATTTGCATTGCTTCGTGAATACGTGTTGGTAATTTTATGTCACCTGAAATGCGAAAGTTATTACAAAAAGTAACAGGTAGTAGTCACTGTGTTGAAACAAAGAATATAGAGACATTTCTTTTGTTGTTATCACAAATACTATGCTGCGGGTTCCATTTTGATCCTAATACAGAAACAAGTAATTTTTAAGGGTCTGGGAGTTTGTAACTTATGTTAAATGCTTCCACAAAATGAGGTATTATTCTGTAGTTAAAAATAACAGTTTTGTTTAAATATATATAATAAATGATAAAATGAATTTTAAGAATTTAGTTTAATTTATTATTATTATTTAATTTGACTTATTAACTTATTTTTAATTACATAGGACAAAAAAAGATCTATAAAAACATGCATAAAAGAACATATAGCTGATGCGAATCACTGACGATCCGGGAAATCTGCAGTTTATGAACATGTTCAGGATCGTCCCTGCCATTATATCAGATTTGATAGACCACAAACTTTGGCAAAAGAACACTGATTCTTACAAAGGATGATTCGCAATGCTATTGAAATTAAAAAACATCTTAATTTAAATAGAGAACATAGATAGGTGCTATCATCAACTTGGGATCCTATAATTAATAAAATTAAATCCAAATCCAAGCATACCTATGGCAAGATTTCAAGATACTGTAAGCTCATACTGCGTGGATCAGACCAAAAATACCGGAAATTAAAAATAAGTTAAATAAGTCAAATTAAACGCGTTAAAATCCGTAAAATTAGTTTTATTCAATGTCGAGTATTTGTGTAAATATAAGAAATCAATAAAAAATAATTTTAATAAAATTATGCCAAGAAAATATTTAGTCCTCATGAGGGAGCAATATTTACTGTCAGACATCAGTTACTGTGATCCAAGGCCATAGTTAACATTATATTTAATGTAACAATGATACACATATCTCTAGTTAGATCCATCTATGTTCAGATGAAATATTTTCAGAAAAAGGACTCTTCCAAGAAATTATGATACTACGCTCATTAAGTTGTCATTAGGTAATTAGTTACGTCTGTCTATTGACATGCTGTAAGTGCATAATGACATTAAAATGTTAAATTTAAAAAGTGAATGTAATTTACTTACGAATTTCGTATCTCAGACAAGCAATTCCCCAAGCTTCGCTAGCCTTATTGATAGCATCTACTATTGATACATTTAGAGATTCCCTCTCTCTAAATACTTTGTCAAGAGATATTTTACCTAGTTCTGATCTCATGGTTGTTTGTGCCAATTGTGTGATGGCAAATTCAGGGTCCTCTACTCCATAGGATGCTACAATCATAAGATAAAAAAATACCAATATAATTTATTACTAATATAAATAAATGTGCCTTATGAGGATTGGGTAGTGCCAATATGGGACGCAAGTAGGTATTTTCATAAATGCCATCTGTTTCATACCGCTTGTCTATATTGTCATATGCGATTGAGAGAGTTGCAAGTCTTTGAGGCAATTGCCTACATTTCCTTTTTGAAATATTGTTTCGGGCGATAACATTTTCACCCCCTAAAACTTTACAAAATTAGACAATTTTGGTCTCATTAAATTCAGTACTTACACCTTAATCTAGGTTTGTACGTTTTACTTTTTAAGTAATTCAGTTTAGTTTAATTAAAAATTTAAAAACGCTCCAGGAAGTAGATACTAAAAAGATAGATACATTCTATAGATGTCCGGTACTTGATTTCAATTTTGTTTTCAATTTGGTAGGCTTGTCAGGATTAATTCAAATTCATTTATTTCAGACAACAAAGATCCATAGATTAGTATTACATTAACGCTTAAAAACTAAGTGTTAATTTAAAAAAAAAATTAAATTATATTAAAATTAAATTCTAATTTGTCATGTACCCAAGAGGCACGGAGCTGTCGACACAGACACGTCATGCACAGAAATTATTTATTTCTGTGTGTGCTGCTGAATCATGTATTAAATGGGTCCATTTTGATATAACAATACAATATATTTGTCATCAAATTCTGTATTTACCCATATTTTCAAACTAAAGAAATATTTTTATATGTGGTAGAGTCATGCTGCAGCTATATTGATAGTATAGTTGTACCACAAATGGGTCGGCTCGACCGGGGAAGGACCACGCACTCACAAAATACCAGCGTAAAATATAGCAGCTTAACACTGCTGTGTTTCATATGGTGAGTGTAGAGAACCGGAGACTTTTTTACTGGAAAAGGGGCATTTCATCTTAGTCCTCATGGGTGACAACGCATCTGCATTTTGATTCTTTATTGAGGATAGATGTAGATATCTATTGGTCACAGCAACCACTTATCATCAGCTGAACTGTATGCTCCTTTGTTACCCTATGCTATAAAAAAATAATTCTATTCTGTGGTAGTTATTTCACCATCAATATGATTATTTTATGATTACTTTGATATTATATTTATAGAAGTATTATTAAATAAAATCATATTTACCTAAGTATGGATCAACTATCCGGAGATATAGTACACCATCAATGCTTAGAGCAACATTGTCTGAAGTAATGGCACTTTGTTTAGGAACATCTATTGCTATCTCTTTTAGGCTTTGAACATATTTAATTTTATCAACAATAGGCCAAAGTAAATTAAGTCCAGGTTCAAGTAATCTGTGAAATTTTCCCATACGTTCAACAATCCATGCCTAAAAATGCATACAAATAAACAAATATTTTTATGCAAGCAATATAATGTCAGAACAATATATATCATAATGTTGTAGATTGATTTCTGTAATTAATAATGACACATAATTTAACACTTTATACTCAAGTTCCAATGTTTAGTTATAATTTCTCTTTAATATTGTAAGTAGGTTTAATCTATGATATTTATCTGGTCAAGTATTAAACTTCACTATAATAAAGGCAGTTTTTAAACATTTGCATACAACATAATTGCTATTGCTAAACCCAACACCATTCCGATTTCAACACCAGGGTATGTTTCATCTCTTAAGAGATATTATTAAGAGTTAGTTATCATTGGGTACTTTGAAAATAATTTCCCATCAATTTCAAGATTACTAGGTCAATAATACTTCTCTGTCCCTCAAAAATGAAGACCTTAATATCATCATCCAAAACTAATATTATTTATTGTGTCAGATTTGGACTGTAGAGGGTAATGTACATTAATGACACAACCTAAAATCTGAGGAAGTAAGGATGATCCCTGGAGGGATTGTGAGGAACCTAGATTTTTGAAACAAAAATTTACACACTGATAAGTTCCTTAGAATCCTATTGGCACCTGTCAATTAGCCATGATTAGTGATGGGAAAAGTACTGCAATAAGTAACAATAGGAATTATAATTTTTTAGAACTGACCGAAGTACTATCCTATCCTACTATATATTTATTTATAGCACTTTGTTGTGCAACATTATCACTTATTGTTTCGCTGGCATTTATATTATTTAATAATGAGGAAATTTTACATACAATTTATAACAAATTCTTAGGTCATATTTAACTGACTATTAAAAAAATGTTGCATGATACACTTATATTTTGCTGGTATATTTTTAATTCAAACAATTTAGGGCCCTTCACAAATCCACTGCTGAACATAGGTCTCCTCCAAGGAATGCCACAAAGCACCTTTTTTCCCCATCGGTTGTCGGTTCTTCGAGCCATATGGCCGGACCATTACTGTATGAGGATGCACGAGCTATGGAGAGAGCTATGCTCGGGGTTTCTCTTTGTGATAAACTTATAAATGAGGATATCCACAGTAGAACCAGAGTAACTGACATAGCCCAACGGATTTGTAAGCTGAAGTGGCAATATAATATTTTGGGGTTAGTAACAAAATCTAGGCCATAAACATTCAAATAGGTAATAGGTTATATAATATTGAGTTTTTTTTTGATTTCATGAATTTACTAGTCTTGTGTAGTTTACGAACGATGAACGATTAGGAAATCTTAGCACTGTACTAGAAAAATCATATCCGAATGTTGATTGTTAATGAGTCTAACAGCTATGTTCGTACACCTAAGCTCACAATATGGCAGACCGCTCATGCGAGCAATAATGTAAAAGCAAAAGAGAGAGTCTGTGAGTTGAGTATGTCATTCGGACAAGAGCCTATGAATGCCTATAATGGTACCATTGATCAAATCCGTTAAAATGAGACGTTATTAAAAGATGCATGTTAGGTATATTAATGCAATAACATTTAATTTTGTTTATCATCCAAATTGATGCTAGACTCGCTGTATTTGTGAATTATTTTATCTAGTATACTTAATAAATAGATACAAACAAACATTTGCTAGACTTTGTTTCGGCACTTGCAATCGTGTAAAAATATGATAAAATTGAAGTTATGTCATAACAATTCTTGAGGAGTATTTTTTGTGCTTTTTATTATTGTTTTAATATTGATTAAATCCTTGGATTCCATTTATTTTTGCATGTTATGGATATGGGATTTTATTTAACTAAGTTTAATTATATTTTCAACACTAATTTGCTTTAGACCTTTATTTTGACCAAGAAATTATCAAGTGTGTGTGTGTGTGTGTGTGTGTGTGTGTATGAGTGATAATACAACATTACGATTCGAGCAGATATCGAAAGACTGAGACTGAGACTCAGTGACTGAGATAACTATTCCATACAGATTTTACAGATAGATACAGTTTAAACTGCTTAGTAGTACTGATGACCAAATAGCGCTAATAGAACAAACTAGTTCACTGTCCGCAATGAACTAGTACGGGGCGAGCTTTAAAATGACCCGAGCAGGCACAAGACTAGGATGTATTTGAATACGAATTCAGATAAAATGTCATTTAACTAACCTCTTGTTGTGGAACAAACATTATTATGGTATTTACAGGAGTTGTAGATCGATATCTTGTAGTGATACTATAAAGAAATCGTGCTTCATTTTTATGTTCCGGCTTAGGAAAATTCTGAAATTTAACATTAAAAATGTAAATCCTTGTGAAATATTATTTGAAAAGCAATAACATGACAGACAGTACGTACTTTTGGAGACAGAGTTTTTGAAAACAAGAATCTTGAACGTGTAAACATATCTTTGCTAATAATAAGCAATTGCTGCTTACTGCTTTGCTTATTAAAAATTTAAATACACTACTTTCCACTTATTATAAAATGAAAATGTCAAATTTTCCTAATTTCCTATATAAAAAAGGATTCTGTGTGTCAAATTGGTAGGGATGTCGATGATTATCGATGTCAAAATGAAAACATCAATGTTGCCACATGTCAAACATTGAAACATCGATGTCAATAAACTCATTATCGTTTACTGGATACTTTCGAACCCACGAAATGAATATGAACTAAATCTTGCATCTCCACTAAAATATTTAAAATTTTGAACGCATCATTATGGTGTCAAATTTAACTGTCAAGTGTCAACTGTAATGTCGCAGTTGTCACTGATTTCGTTTTGTTACTGGTGTCGTTGTTGGTTGTCTGTTTCTTTGTCGGCTGTTTTTGAAAAAAATCCGATGGTTAATCTTAAACACGACCCACTGCACGTTTAGAACAATGTTATTGGTACACACATATCTAAAATTAAAAAAAAACTTGCGGTGAAATATTTGACCACAATCACTACATCAACGCCATCTGAGCGGTTATCTACCGACTGAAAAAAGGAGGAGGTACGCAATTCGACTGTATGTTCTTTTTTTAATGTGTGTTACCTCATAACTTTTTTCTGGGTGAATTGATTTCGGTGATTCTTTTTCTGTCCCGTAGAAATTTGACCTATATAAGTCTGACCAATACTTTTTGAGTTATACTTAATCATTAATTTTAAAGTCAGTTGTACAAAATTTTTATTTTTAAATTATTTTCAATAGCTGGCTCAACTCTTTATCAACAGAGAAACAGATTGAAAGGTACTGCTTTGTCAAAATTACTATTTCTTCAATCAATTGGCAAAAATATTGGATTATATAACAAATGAACTAGATATTTGTGAACTTCTTCCATTTTTTTTAATTACTGTTTTACACTACACTATTTATTAATTCCTTTTATTTCATTAATAATAAATCATATACAACATGACAAGTTTTTATTCATATAATTCTAACCTATTAAATACATGTGCCAAAAACATCGATGTTTTGAGTAGGATAAACATCGAACATCGATGTTGAGCTATCGATGTCATCATCGATGTTTGTACAACATCGATCATCCTAACAAATTGTCAATAAGTCCTGTGCATAGATCATAGATATAAAAAAAACTATTATATCTATGGCATAGATATATATCACTGACTTAGAAGTATATAGGTATATATCTCTATGATATATATATATATATATATATATAGTCCTATGTCGTAAGAGTGGACACCAAAAAGTATACATAATCACTACGACATAAGAAGATGTTTGGCTTGGATGCTTATTCTTTAAGTCACGTCTTCACGTATCTCAGTATCAAGTGATAATAATTCTCACATTGTGTAGCATTTGCGAGATTTTGACGTAAACTTGAGCCAGCAAACAGTTGGCGATAGTATCTTAAGGCGCCAAAACAGACAGACACCTTATCTTCAGATTGACATCACTTTTGGAGTATTTGTTTCACCATTTAATACACAAAATAGCGCCATTTTTACATAATAAAATCCATTTCAAACCATTATTTAAACAATAATACAGGAGCAGCAACACGCCGCCAGTCAAGTTTACACCAAAACTCCGACCTAAGAAGATTATGGAGGGTAGAGGGAAGGAGGACTATCTCAGGGGGACAAGATGATAAATTGTCCAGATGTAAGCTGTAAATAATAGTTCAAAAACCTTCCAGAAGAGTACTGTCGTAGATATAGGATGTGATATGAATATTGCAGTTGTAGATGGATTGAAGAGTGCATGCCTTACAAAAAATAATATTTTTAAAATTCTATGATTTATTCTCATAATTTTTCCATCAAAAACTACACTTGTGATTTTTTTATCATTTTGTTTGTGATGAATTTTTGTTCTCTAATTTTAAACAAAAAATTATTAATTTAATATTTACCCTGCTGCTGTTGTATCGCCACCCTAATTTAACGCATTTCGACGGACACTTTTTCATACACAGAAATAGTCCTCCTCAGGCTGGTGCAACTTCCATATTAAAAGCTATAAGTATGAAACGGGAGTAAGTTTTATATTTTTCGTAATATATATTTCGTAACATATTTTGTAATAATGTCTGTGACGTTGTTAATTCAAATAGGTTCAAATATCAAATCAAACGGTTACATTTATATTTATTTTAATTATTTAGAGTCGTAGATTATTGATAAGTCATCGCGCGGTCAGAGCGCGCGATGACTTATCAATATCCAAGTTTAGATTGCTTTTAATTTTGTCATAGGAGCCGTTGTTCATTTACAGAATTGTTAAAAAATCAAATATGCATTATAAAACTTGCCAAGGATTGGCAACTGAACGTCAATAACGGTTTTACGTATTTTTGGTGTCATATTAAATATTTTAAGTTTTCTTTTAATATTCTGATTACATTCCTAATTTATTATAGTATATATTAATAATATTTATCTGTATTTCCATATTATCACTCATTTAGCGACAATTTCTTAGTATTATAAAATAGTCTAACGTAGCGTTAGACTCTCACAGTCGCCATGTCTAATCCATCTATTCCGCCTAAGCCACCGGATCCGAATTGCTCAGATCCTAACATTATTTCCTCTCCAGCTGCTTATGTCGAAATTCAAAATGACTTAGAAGGTTCATTTAAAAAACCATGGCAGTCATTATCGCAAGAAATTTTTGATGACAACTTCAAAATTATTTCCAATAAAAAGAAAAGGAAACATAAAACGAAAGAAAGGAAGAAAGAAGAACATGCTAATCGGGTTGACTTAAATAGAAAAATTTCAGTTTTTTCCACCAATTCTTCATTCTCAGAATCGGATTGCGATAATGGTAATATTTCTTCATCTAAAATTAAAATTATGGGATCTAACTCTAACCAAGGTAACATATCAGGACAAAATGTTTATGAATCTCCCATGTCTTTATCATCTAATATTGCGTGTACTCAATCATCTGAAATCCCCCTTTCTCAATCATCTGACATTCCTCTACCACAAACATCAAATTCTGCCTATAGTCATATCTCTTCTAAATCTCTTAACACAAGTATAAATGGGGATAATGCAAAAACAGATTCTCAAAAATTTCAATCTCTTCGCCCTTATAATTCTACAGAATCGGGTCCTTTTATCGTGCATGTTCAAGTAAAAGAAGATTCTCCTAATTCTGGTAAGACTTTAAATGCTATTTCTTTTGGTCACTTTTTGAAAAAATTAAATATTCAAAATATAGTTAATGGAGGCCTAAAACGTATCGGGAGGAATAGAATTACAATTGAATTCTCTAAATTTATTGATGCAAATCTATTTTTAGAAAATCCCTCTGTAAATGATAAATATAAAACGTTCATTCCATCCTTCCACGTATCTCGTATGGGTGTTATAAAAGGTGTACCAAAAGATTGGACACCAGAAGATATTATTACTGAATTATCTACGTATCCAAACACTATTCCTATATTAAAAGTAAAAAGATTAAATTACCGAGTACGCAATGCAGACAAACTCAGATATGAAAGCTTTGAAAGTGTCGTAGTCACATTTGACGGTCAAATTCTTCCCTCGAGAGTTTATTTTTCTTATTCTTCCATCCCTGTTGAAATTTATAAACTTCCAACGATTCAATGTTTTTTTTGACACACTAAAGATTTATGTCGTTCCAAGCCAAGATGCTCAAAATATGGCGATGATCACTCTTCTTCTTCTTGCGATAAAGATAATGGATCTTTTTGTTGCTTATTCTGCTCAGGTAACCACAAAGCTACGGATTCTAGATGCCCTGAACACACACGTCAAAATAATATTAAAATCGAAATGGCACAAAATTCAATCTCATACCTAGAAACATCACAAAAATATCCCCAAGTTTCATCAAAGTCATATGCTGATGTTCTGATCTCAAAAAACCCTATAAACTCTTCTCTTTCTACTAATCCTTTAAAGGATCATTTTCCTTCACATGCTGCTTCATCTAGTAAAACTTCTTATAAGAAATCATTATTTATTCCTGAATCATTCCGTCACCATACTCAAACAGGATACGACAAAAAAATTCATCAAAAAATTATTGAAGATTTTTCAATTCCACAACCAGAGGATGGTTGTGCTCTTCGGGTTTCACGTGATACTTCACAGGGTAGTTTTAATTCTATAGAAAGCATCATAAATTCCCTTATTAACATAATAATATCTTCGTATTCGTCAAAGTTACCGTCCCACGTTGCTCGCTTACTAAATTCTATTCCTGAAATTCTTCACGACATTCACTCTCACAAAGATCCTTCAATGGAATTGTAGAAGCATTTTTGATAAACGCACTGAAATAATTTATCTATTAAAAAATACAATGTTTGTGTCGCTGCTATTTCAGAGACATGGCTGAAACCGGATTCCAACATCAGAATCCCTGGTTTTTGTTGTGTTAGAAATGACAGATCTGATGGTTATGCCGGATGTGCTTTACTTATAAAGAATAATATCGCTTATACCATTGTAGATATTTATGATAAAATATTTGACTTCAATATAGTATCAGTAAGAATTCAAAATATTACTTTCGTTTCTATTTATGTTCCCTCCCCGTCTGTCCATACGTTTCGCAGAATAAAATCTTTAATAGCCTCGTTACCCAAACCATTCGGATTCGGCAGTTTATTAGTTGAAATATTTGACGAACTTAACATTGGCGTCCTTAATACTGGTAAAATCACCAAACGCTCTCGTCCCAATGAGTCTAGAAGTGCTGTAGATTTATCAATTTGTACCCCTGATTTAACCTCTCTTTTAAATTGGACAGTTTTAGATAGCTCTCACGGCAGTGATCTTTTGAAACAAACAAGTTGGCATGCCTTTTGTTCTTCAATATCTCCCTCAATTCCTTCATCAGTTGTTTGGCGTAATATAAGAAAATTTCGTTATTGTTTTTCATCTT